AAAGGGTAAACAAATATCACTTGAAAGCGTTTTTATTCATTACATGAGTTGGAATCCAACTACTCACAAAAGCATTTGACATTCTAGTGTTTTCCACACTTGATAGAATCATTTTTTTTTTTTGTCGATTATCTGTAACCCCACGCCTCTATAGAGAATAACATCTCACCTAATTAACGGTTTGTCTGGTTGAAGGTTTTGACCATCTGCTTGGATATGACAAAAGCAAATGAAGTTTTTAAAACATCACTGTCCTTCAAAGTCAATTAAAGAAGCACCAACGGAAATTTGCTTCTCAAATTTTTTTTTTGGCAGAAGTTGTTAAAGTTGACCAAGTTTAGAAAGACATGGTTTTTCTAAGTTAAATATTTTAAAAAGTATTTTTAATAATATGTTAAAATATATTTTTATGTAAAATATGCACTTGTTACGTATGGTATGTATTTTTTTTTATTTTTTATTTTTATCTCTAGCAATATATTAAAATACACTGTCACATCACTAATGTGTAAAATTATCCTTTTTACACAGATACATAAGTATATTTTATTTCTCCTCCCTCTTTCTCATTGTATTAACGAATTAATCATATATTAAGTAGGTTTGTACAGATTATGTGGAATACAGGCATGACATTGGTTGGTTGTCATTGGAGGATATAAATTACACAAAAGGTATAAAATAACTGTTGGAGCTAAAAATAAATAATTTAAATTTTTTGTGTAAATCTATTATAATACGTTACATTTAAAATCTATCTATTATTAGTGTTAAACCACGTCAACTAATTTAAAAAAAAGTTTAAAAACTGTATAGCACTTACCATCAAGACTGATTGAAAAATGTCTAGCAATTACCAATCAGACCTTAATGTGGAAGTCAAAAGTAATGTTCATTTTCGAAAGTTAAATGTAAGCAACTCTGGGAAGATGTATAGTTTTAATCTTTTTGCAGCAACCTAAACCTGATGGGCATATAGCTACTTAGAAAGGGATTGTAGTGATGGTTGAGATGAGCTGGCCAAATTTTGTGTAATTAAGACTTACTTTGGCTAGATATTATATTTTGGGCTGTATGCAGTCAAATGTGCTATCAGAGATATGTCCTTTTTTAGCTCTGTCTAAACGGGACTATTTTGGCATCTAGCATGATTCTGACTTCTTTTTTGGATTAGAATATAATGTGAGGCTACGAAGTCTGTTTAAACTGGTACAAGAATGAATCTGAATAATGGAACCAATTACTTGTAAGGCCCATCTTTATGATATTCTCCTATTATCTTGCTTCTATTGCCTTTTTGAGTGGAGTATAATTGTGTTCTTTTTCCTTTTTCTTCTACTGAATCTACGAAATTGCAGGTCTATAATTGAAATTTAGCCAAGATCTGTTGGTTCTAACTTCTTTTTGGATTAAACTCAGTGTGAGGCTGCAAGGTGTTTTTTACACTGGTTACAAGGATGGATATGGATAATAAACAAGTAATTTGGTGACCTATGTTTATGAACTTATTTATTTTCTTGGTTCTATGGTCTATTTGAATAGAACAGAGTGGTGTTCTTTTTCTGACACATCTAGCATTTTAAAAATTGACATGACATAGGCTAATCACGTCCATAATTGGTTTTTTTTTTTTTTTTTTTTTTAGATTTGAAGCTTATGCAACTGTAAACTCTTTAAAAAATGATTTTAGGGGTATGTGGCCTTTTAAGACTAAATTCATGGCGTATAATAAGAGGCTTTGGAAGGTGTATATATGTCTATCGATACGGGGGTAAAAATGGTTCAGCTGGAGATGCACTTCAGAGTGGGTTCAATTATGAAATTGATGGTATGGCTTCTCTAGACAGATTGGATGAAGTTCACCAGATAGCAAGTTTGAGGTTGGAAGGGCTTTACTGAAAATTTTCAACTATATCTCGGGAAATACAGGCTATAGCAGAGAGATGATAGCAGTAACTGACACTGGAGACTGGATGAAATCTATTTTAGGTGGGGAAGTAGCACAACACAGTCATGAACAATTTGCATGGTATACAAACATTGAATTTGGAAACACATACGCACGCATGCACACAACTCAAGTTTGTGTTAGGAAGGAAAGAAAATAAAAAAGTAGTTGGAAGATGATGCTGCTGGAATCAAGTGAGTCATGAAGCCTCCTCTGAAGCCTCCTCTAAGACCCTCCCGGAATAATCCAGCTCCAAACCACCTCAAACCACCTTTCTCACCTTCCAGTATTCCACTGCAGATTGAAGTATATGACCCTCCACTACCACCCTCACATCATGGCCAGCATACAGATCAATATCCCCCACCATCAACCAAACCCCTTAGGCCAACACTGAATAGCCCCTACAATAATGCATCTACCTCTAAACAACCAACTTACTACAAACCAAAACACTCAAAGCCCCTCTCCTCACACCCTGCCACATTCCCAAACTCCATACAGCTACAACATAATCATCTTGAGAGGAATAAGTCCATTATCCCAAGGTCATCCAAGCCTCCACTTCACGACTCGAAGTCCACCAAGCATGACCATTCCCCAAAGTATACTTACCCTCCAAGAAATTTCAATCCCTTACTCTAAAATTCTCCTGGCCATCAAATTGAAAGGCTCCAAGAACAACTCCAATGGTCTGAAGAGAACCTGGGCAAATCAATGGATATGCACTATGAGAAGAACAAGACTATTTCTAAACTAAGAGAAGAAGTTTCAAAGCTTAAGGCAATGATCAACTCCAACACTGAAGGTACCACTGCACAAATGGTTCAACCAGTTACAACAGACACTACCATCACGGCTCCCCCAGATGCAGAGGTAATTGTCACAGCCGCAACTCAACCAAATCCACCACTGCAGACTTCCACAACCACCACTTCAACACCGGCGGATGATCTCCCTCCATTGCAGGCACCAGGTTTGAATTCAAATTTGAATTTCAATTCCCCAAATCCGGTCAACACTACTTTGCAGGCTCCAATAGTTCATATTGCCCAGAAAGGAATTATTTCAACATGCAGTCAAAACAATACCATACCAACTCCTAACTTGCAGCCCAAAATAGCAGGTCAACCATCACTACATTTAAAGCCAACCAACCAAGTCTCAACTACAGACAAAATAGCAACCGCACCTATCCTGACACATGCTACTACTTTACCTTTCCCACATGCCAACAAATCACCTCTCCCCATTAAGCATCAAACAGCAAAATCTTGGTCCAGTGTTGTTGAACATGGAACTAATAAAATGAAATTTGTTTATATGCCCCCCTCATCTGCTAATTCCAATGTTATTGATCCACCTAAAGAAGTTGTTGATGAAGGTTTAAACGTCTGGTCCTCTTTCCACTTGGTTGGTTTCTCCATCCACAAGAGATTGCCATTCAAGGTAATTCAGAGTACTGCAACCAAACTATGGAAATCATTTGGTCTAACTCAAACCATCATTGGGGAGAATAACTCTTACATCTTTAGATTCAACTCCTCCTCAGAAGTGGATAGAGTTCTCTCTCATGGCCCTTGGTCAATAGCTGGGCATCCTTTCTCATTAAGGAAATGGAACCAGAATAACCAATCTCAGCCTGTTCAGTTGGGTTGTCTGCCTATTTGGACCAAGTTCTACAATATGCCTCATAACTACTGGACTGCAAAGGGTCTTAGCCACATTGCAAGTGCCGTAGGTGAGCCATTATATGCTGATGAAGCCACAGAAATGATAACCGAGTTGAAATATGCAAGAATCTGCATCAACATTGACCTGAGCAAACCTCTCAAGCACAATGTTCAGCTCAAAATGGATGATATGTCCTTTACAGGCATCAGAATCGAGTACCAATGGCTACTTAAAATATGTAACAAGTGCAATCTCCTCAACCACTCAAAAGCCAATTGTCCCCTCAAGTTCATCAACACAGCTCATGGCAAAACAACTGCAATCACTCCTGATAGCACTACTCCCCCAACTCTCCCAATAACTGAAGGTTCTCCTCACAAAGATCACTGCCCTGCAGTCGAACCTACTACTGCATGGGTCACAGTTAGAAAGAAAAAGAACAAGAACCCCTCAAATGCCATTAATCCATATCCACTCACTGCCAAACCCTCAACTGCTAACCATTTCTCCTTATTGCAACATCAACCTCTTGACCCTAATAACCTCGACTCCCCTTCAACTCATCATACTCCCTCCCCAAACACCTCAGATAACACAGTAGTCAGCAATTCCATCACTGATTCAGAATCCTCAACAGCACCATCCACACCTCATTCTCCCCTTTGAAGCAGGAAGCTCAACTTCTACTCTCCTACAGCTACGCCATCCTCCCTTCATAATAAATATAAATCATTTATGTCAACTCCTCATTGCAAACCTTCCTCCACCCATAAAACTTTTGGTACGCCAAACACAATTCCCCAGCACAAGAATCAAAAGAAATTCAAACCTGATCACAGGGAATGCAATCCTTCCAAGTCCACTGCTATGGCTCATACCCTTACTATCATTCCAATCCACTCCCAGTGCTTGCTCAGGCTAACAAATCCATCTCTTCCTCAATAAGTGATCCATGCAACTACAGCAACAAAGCACAGAATGGAAGATTAACTGCAAGAAGTTTCAGGAAAGTGGCAAGAATGAAAGAGCACATCAATTCAAGGTTGATGCATGAGGGTTCTTCAGTAAACCCAAGGCATCTTGGAGGTCACCTCACTCCACCCTTTTTATGATTTCTTTTCTAACATGGAATATTAGAGGGTTAAATCAACCCTCTAGACAATCAGAAATTAAAAAATTAATTTCTGATAGAAAATTGGATCTGGTCTCAATAATAGAAACCAAAGTGGCTCTCTCTAATGTGGCAGCTATTCACAATAATATTGCTCTACACTGGTCTATTTCTCACACTTATCCTTTTTCATACTTAGGTCAAATTTGGATAATTTGGAACCCAAGAATTCTTGACTTGTCAGTTTTACATTGCAACAGACAAGCAATGCATTGCTCAATATCTCTGACTGGTTTAAATCTCTCATTTTTCACTTCTTTCATCTATGCTTCCAATTGTGCAATTGAAAGACAGGCTCTCTGGAATGATATTATTTACCACTCAACTATCTTTGCTTCCAATCCCTGGCTAGTATTGGGGGATTTTAATGTAATTCCCAACATAGGTGAAAAGTTTGGTGGCTCAATGAAAGGAAGCTCTGTAATGTCTGATTTTAAGGGCTGCCTCCAAAAAGCTGGCTTGGAGGACCTCAAGTTCTGTGGGATCTTATATTCTTGGTCAAATAAAAGTATAGGAGATGCTTGTATTGCCAAGAAACTGGACAGGGCCTTGATCAACCAAAGCTGGACCATCTCTTTCCCTGTGTCTGAATGTAACTTCCTCACCCCAGGCATCTCAGACCATAGTCCTATCCTGGTCACACTTGACATCAACAAACCCCAAAGGCGTATCCCATTCAGGTTCTTTAATGCTTGGGTCTCACACAAGCTTTTCTTACCATCAGTTCAAAGGGTCTGGAGCTCTCACATAAGGGGAACTGCAATGTTCCAAGTGGTTCAGAAGCTCAAACAACTGAAACCAGTTTTAAGGTCCATTTGTGGGAAAGAACTATCTGATTTGGATTCCAAGATCCATGCTATTCAACTTGAATTACAGTCTTGTTAACTGGATCTTGGCCTCTCTCCTAGTAATCCCACTCTCAGAGAATTGGAAAGAGCCCTCACCACTGAATTTCTAAGACTGGGATCAATCCAAGATGATATATTGAGGCAGAAATCCAGAATGGTCTGGCTTAAATTGAGTGATTGTAACTCATCCTACTTTTATAGGTCATTTTTTTCAAGGAACAACAGAAAGAAGATTATCTCATTGTCACTTGACGATGGACAAGTTATTCAGGATCCTGAAGTCATTAAAACTCAAGTGGTCAACCACTTTCAAGCCTTGCTTGGTCAATCCCTACCACTAACACACCACATCTCTGATCTAGTTCCTTTCATCACAAAGGTTGTCCCACCAAGCTTTTTCCCTTTCCATGAAGACATTCCAAGCAATATGGAAATCCAATGCTGCATGCTGAATCTAAACAAGGACAGAGCCCCAGGTCTAGATGGTTACAATGCTTTATTTTTCAAAAGTTCTTGGAACATTATTGGAAGGTCTATTACTAAAGCAATTTCAGAGTTCTTTAGAAATGGGAAGCTCCTAGCTGAGGTCAACAACACTTACATAGCCCTGGTTCTTAAATGTCAAAATCCAGCCTCTCTCTATGACTACAAGCCTATCTCCTGTGTGAATACTATCTACAAGTGTATCTCAAAACTTTTTGCAACTAGGCTGCAATCCACTCTACCTGCACTCATTGATCAAGCCCAATCTGCATTTATCCATGGTAGGACGATCACAGACCCTATTCTCTCAGCCCATAAGTTGCTTAGGGGTTACCATAAGCATGGTACTCCTGTCAGATGTGCTTTCAAAATGGACCTTAAGAAGGCCTTTGATTCTATCAAGTGGGACTTCATAATCAGTTGCCTTACACTGCACAACTTCCTACCAAAGTTTATTGAACTGATTAAAGCTTGTAACTCATCACCATCCTTTACCATTGCCTTGAATGGTGAGTTCCAAGGTTATTTCAAAGGCAAAAAAAAGGGGCCTTAGACAAGGAGATCCCATCTTTCCTTTCCTCTTTGTTATAGTCATGGATGCATTTTCCTCCATTGTCTCCAATTATGTGAGTAGCGTCTCATTCTTTAAATATCACTGGAGGTGCAAGGAGCAAAGAATCACTCACTTATCCTATGCTGATGACTTACTTTTATTTTGTCATGGTGATATTTGCTCAGTTTCTGTCCTTAAGTCAGCTCTGGATCTTTTCAGTTTAATGTCTGGCCTACAAATCAACCTATCTAAAAGTGCAGTGTACTTCTCAAGTATCAATGACCACACTCAGAATGAAATCTCCACTCTTTTTGGCATCCAAGTAGCTACTCTACCAGTGAGATACTTAGGTGTGCCTCTCATATCCACTAACCTCAAAGCTGAGCATTGCAGCCTACTAGTTAGTAAAATCATTCACAGAGTCTCTAGCTAGACATCAAGACCACTCTCCTATGCAGGTAGATTGCAATTAATCAAATCAGTCCTTGTCTCTACTCAAAACTATTGGTGCAACATCTTCATCCTTGTAATACCCTTAATTTAAAAGGATAGTCTCGGCATTTATTTATTATTTTTGTTGTATTTTTGCATGATTTTTGGGTTTAATTATTTTATTTAATTGTTTACCAGTGTGACGTGTATTTAATTGGTATCTATTTATTTGTTTCAATTGCATTTTATTTTATTTAATTGATTATTAAAGGTTTTAATTTAGGAAGTAATTTAGGAAGTATTTTAATTAACTTTTTTTTTTTCATAATTGAGGGTTTAGTTTTTTTAGCCGACACAGGATTTAATTAAGTTCTATGGGCCGGTTAGGATTTAGTTAGGGCTCTAATTAATTTAGGGTTTTGGTATAACTCTATAAATATATGGGTATACGTCTGCCGAGGGTTTCTAAAACCCTATTCACCATATTCCCGTATACAGTAAAGAGAGAAGTTGAGAGAACAGAGCATCGTAACGGTCTGTCAAGGAGAATAACAGAGAGGACCAAGGGAGGTGTTTGGTGGATTAGATTAGAACTAGAGGAGGCTAGAAGGTAGTCAGTGGTTGCCGAAAAGCTTAGAACAACGGCGACAAGGTTCTGTTTATAAAACTGTACAGGCAAGTTCTTATCTTCCTCCTTCCCTTTGGCTCGTGTTTTGTGCACCTAGATAGTCTCTAGGGATTAACTAATTAGTAAATGAAACTTATGTGTTTAATGTATGCTTGTTGATGATTCATTTGTATTAAATTCAAATCTGTTTACAGTTCGTGTATTGTTGCTCCCAGTTCTGTTCATTAAAGCATATTAAAATCTGTTGAGATCTTAGTTACAATTCTTGCTTCTATCTTCTGTAAACAAACCCTAGGGATGTTAATGGGATGTTATAAGACTCCTAAGATTAGTTTGTGAAGAGAAACAGAGAGGTTGGAATAGAATTATAAATTCAGTTTTGTTCCTAACGCGGGTTAGTTCGGTAGCAAATTTAATCTCTGGATTTCATTTTAATTGTTGTTATCAAACCATTGGGATGCTACTGGGTATCAATATGAGACCTAAGTTTGGTTTTAAAAACTAACAGAGTGTTAGGAATAAGCCGGAGAAGGAGCACAGGAGCTGGAACAATGCACCGGGGACGAAGGCTCTCAAAGGAGGTGAGAGCCGGCTCCATAGAAGTGGGAGCCGGCTCCCACAACAAAGTAGAGCCTGCTCTAGGGAGTCCTAGAGCCGGCTCTAGGCTGGAAATAGAGCCTGCTCCAAATTTTGGAGCAGGCTCCCTTTCTATTTTTGATTTATTTTAAGTTTTTTTTATTTTTCTACGTATTATGTGCACTGTTGGAGCATGGAGACTATTGAAATGAATTTGGAACTTTACAGAGGGATTAAGGAATGAAGTTTGAGTGTTATTAAGACTCTAAATTAATTAAAGTTTACTTCTAAATTGTCGGGACAAACAGGGTAAAATTAAGGCACTTCCTATGTTGTTAACAAATGGAAGTTGAATTAATTGTTGAATTAAATTTCAGCAATTTGATGGAATATAATGTATTTATAAAACTTGTGTTAGAATGCATTCAAGTGCATGATAAGGTCATTTAATTATTAATTTTGATCTATGCATGCTTAGGAGGCTAGTTGCTGAGTTATTAAATCGTTTCCTGCAACTATATGGTTAATGCTTGGATTTAAATTGCCGAATTATTAAACAATCTTCTGAAATTGTTTTAGCAATTTATTGGATAATAATAGGATTATTTAACCTATTCACATGCATGATGGAGTCCCTGACATATTAAATTTGAACTATGCATGTGTTGGATGTTAATTGTTAGAATAGTTTATTCTCCGATGCAATTACATGGATTATTACTGGATTTTATTTGCTAGATTGTTAAGATTCCTTCTGCAAGTATTGGATGGTGGTTTTTGGACTGTAAATTATTGAACTGTTATATATGTTGTAATTTACATGGATATGGAGGATTGTATGTATCGGTATGGGACGGTGACATACTAGGGACGGTTTAGCTCAAAACGCATAAACCTAACCTAATGGATTAATGGAATGAATTAAAAGATATCGAATCCTAATTGTGGCTAAGTCAGATAAGTTGTAACCAAGTTGGATGACTTCCTAGATTAACGGATGGTAGTTAAGTCCTATCAACTGAATAAGTTGAGTGACTAACTAGTTGGTTTATTGTAGGTCAGTTTAATAAATAGTTGAACTGCTTACCCTGGATTTGGACGGACTTTATATATATGTTTATGGTACCACGAGTTGAGCTTGAGTCTCAGACTCGTTGGTTAGGGTGCGTATATGCAGTGGATGCGTAGCTGGTTATAATAGGTTGAAGTGTACCCTGTTAGGTCTAGGTACTCATGCCCACCTTTGGGTGCGTATTCGCATGTTGCCTTCTATTCAGGTTGAGACCCCTATTATAGACTAGTGAATGTCCTTTAGTGTGGATATATTTATACGTATGGACTAGATAGATATTGTGAGGTGTCTACGGTGTATCTGCGTATCGGGTCACTGTATGGATTGCAGTTAGATTAGAACTTGCTCGTGGGTCTGACCCACTCTTTTATTATTCTTTTCAGGTACAAGACGGTTCCAGCCTTAGAGCTTGATCGTGCTTGTCGAGGACAGTCTCACTTTTATCTGATTACGTAGGACTTCTCTCGATGTTTCTAGTATTATCTATTTTCAGTTTCATTCTCAGTTGAACTTTTAGTTAGGGGTCCATCAGTGGATTCTCAAGTTGTAACTTTGAGGTTTTGGAGGATTGGAGTTTCAATTTTCAGTTGTACATGGAGGATTTTATAATTAATGTTTCTTTCAGTTTTATTCTATCTTTATTGTTCTTTTTGTCATCTGTGTTCGTTTTAAAATACTTTAATTGTTTGATATTCCCTCGGGTTCGGGCCTGGGCCTGATCAACCCGTGTCTCAGATCCGAGGGGTATCACAATCCTCCCTAAAGGGGTCATAGATGAATTGAACAAAATTTTTAGAAGATTTCTTTGGTCTGGTCCAGAGCTGAAAGCTATAGGCTCAAAGGTTGCTTGGGATAAGGTGTGTTCCCCTAAACTTGCAGGGGGTCTAGGGATTCCTAATTTAGAAGCTGCTAACAGGGCTGGTATTCTTAGGTTCATCTGGGACCTCCAAACTGACAATTCAAACAAGTTGTGGGTTAAATGGTGTCACTCACACCTCCTTAAATCTAGGAATCTATGGACCCTTAATTATCCTCAACCATGCTCTTGGAGTTGGAGGAAGATGCTTCAGTTAAGGCACACAGCTAGATCCCTGATCAAATATTCAATTGGCAATGGGGCAGACACATCTTTATGGTGGGATAATTGGGCTCTAGGGGGCCCCCTCTGCACAAGGTTTCCAATCTCTATATTGACTGAAGGTGGTTTTCAAGAAGAAGTTACTCTCGACAATTTCATTCAAAATAACAACTGGTCTTTTCCCATGAGCCTCACTAATTCTATCCCTGAATTAT